CTTGTGAGGATGGTAAACACTGATGTACACAGGGTCACTATGAAACAGAATTGACTTGACAGCAACTAGCAACAACATTCCATTGTATCGCAGTTTAACAGCCATTTACCCATTGAAGGATACTGGGTTCTTTCCAGTTTGGGGCTATTATGAATAAAGCTGCAGTGGTCATATGTGTACAGATTTTTACATGGACACATGTGTTCAGAGATTCATGGAAATGTATGAGAAATAAACAATGCTCACATTACCTACAACATTCTTTTTTATGTCACTCAAAACCTCATTCTGATGACTTATTCTCTTGAAGTAGTGTTGACTGTAAATTTTGCATGTCTTTGAAGCAAAGATTACAATATGAATTATTAATATAAGAAAACAAAATAATTTGGTTAGAGTGTATCAGAATAGAAACGGGCAAACATATTTACCATATACTGACTTTCTATTTTTTAAATTTTTTGAAAATTTACAGAGAAAAGTGGTTTTCTATTCAACAATTTGCATACATTTTATTTTGACATCGACTGCAATTCCTACAATGCAACAGCACTTTTCCTACTTCCTCCGTGTTACTGTTTTCATTCATTCTTCTTACCTATCTGTTCCTACCTTGTTAGCTCTATCCCTTGACAAATGCTGCTCTTTTGATCTTATCGTTCTATGGTGTGTATACCTCCCTGATGTTATTGTTCGTCTTATAGTTCTGTCTATAGTTTTATTGAGGAATCCTGGTGTGGTGCTGTAGGATAAGCACTGGACTACAAGGTTAGTTTGAAAGCACAAGGTAGGCAGCTCAAACTCACCAACTGCTCCTCAGAAACCTTATTGGGTCACTATGGGTTGGAACTGACTAGATGGCACTTAGCAAGAACAACAACATAGTTTGATTGAAAGTTGAGCCACGTGGTGAGTTTAATTCCAGGTTTGAAGGATGTCTAAGGGCCAAAGTCTTGGGGGTTACCCCAGTCTCTATCAGATCAGTAAGCCTGTTTTGTTTTTTTTTTTTAAATGATTTTGAGGTTTGTTTCACATTTTTTCCCCACTCTGTCTAGGACATAAAGTGATCTGTTTCAGAGTAGTTACAGTGGTGACGGGGACCATCTAGTTCCTCTGGTCTCAGGGTTGTTGCAGCTGGGTTTCACATGATCCACTAGTCCTATGGAATAATTATCTCCATGCATCTTTGATTTTCTTCATTTTTTTTGGATCCGGATGGGGAGAAACCAATTGTTACATATTAAATGGCCACTCACAAGCATTTAAGACCCTAGTTGTTACTTACCAAAGTGGTATGTAGAACATTGTCTTTGTGGACTATGTTATCTCAATTGACTTTGGTGTCCCCTGAGACTATGGTCCTGAACCTCCAGGCCCAGAAGCTGATTTGTCAAGGTGTTTGATTACGGCTAAGAAGTCTTCATAATTTCGTTCTCTGTATGTTCCACTATAAAGAGGAGATCTGGTAGTGTAGTGGTTACGAATCAGGCTGTGAACCTTAAGGTCAGCAGTTCGAAACTACCAGCTGTTCCATGGGAGAAAGATGAGGCTTTCTGCTCCCGTAAAGATTTACAGCCTTGGAAGCCCTGTACAGGGTCACTATGGGTTGGAACTAACTCCATGGCACTTAACAACAACAACATACTCTTCTATATTCATGGGTATAGTAACAGGACACATAAATGCATATGTAGAAATATCCTCTGTTAAACCAGTATTTGTGAGTTAAGCCCCATTTGCTTTCTCTCACCTGTTCAGCTTGCATGTTTATCTCATGCACTGACTTTCATGTTCTTGTGAAAAAAAAAAAATTAAAATGTCAAAAATAATTTAGAGGCAGTACAAAAAATTTAATTAATAAACTAAGTAGTTGTATGTAGAAAATTCCATGCAAAAGAGCATTCTATTACCCAGAGTTCATATAAATTTTTGTTTTTAAGACTAAAAGGTTTTATTTTATTTTAACAAAACATGGTTTGGGGTACTAGTTTTTGAAGTTCTGGCCCCATTTTACTAAGATTCATGTGTCAGTGATGATTATTAGTGTTTATGGTTTATATCTAAGAGAAAAGGCACCAGAACATAAAATTGACTCATCAACAAACCACTGATAATAATCTAAGAAGACCACATTATGATACCTATACTAGTAGTAAAGATAACATTAAACTATTACCTTTTACATTAGAAAATTCTCACACACACATACACACATTCTTATTTTTAGAATACCTGAACATGCAGGAAAAAATGAGGCAGAATTTCCAGGGCAAGAAAAAAGTATATACATGATCAGAATCTAAATATTTTTTGGTCAGGTTTCTAACCATTAAGTGAATTGGCTATATACATTCAAAACAAGTTAAAGTTTATCCTTGGTCCACAAAATACAGAATTAAGACATATTCTTACTAGATCACTGCAAAGATATATTTATAAAGCTTATATTTATAAGTCCCATTAAGCAGCGCAGAAATTGATAGTTGATTACATGGTATTCACTCATTCTTTTCCTTCTTTGGAGAATGGTTAACATCTATAAGACTTCGGAAAGCAACTTACTGAAATCTACCATGGTCAAAGTGAATGCTTCTTTTGTGATCCTGGTTGAAGCATTCAAGTTCTTCTTCCTGCAAAGTTGAGAGAATCCATCTTTTCATTCCTATCTCAGTGATTTCAAGAAGTTTGGTCATAGCACATAACAAGTGTCCAAACCATGGTCCACAATCTTGAAAATTTGATGGCCGAAGGCTGATATCTAGCTCAGTTAACTCTTTGAGGAACTGCACATTCTGGCAGAAGGCTGTCCATCCTGTATCACAGATGTTGTCATTATAGCTCAAGTCGAGCTTTCGCAATTTGCCCAGATGACCTGTCTGTATTATTGATGCTGAAAAACAAAATCACTCTAAATGCTAAAGTACAATATTCTACCATGGTTACTTTCTACTTCCCAATAATACAGTGTCTCCAGAATTAGTACTAACAAGGTTTGTTGTTGTTGTTGTTGTTAAGCGATATTGAGTCAGCTCCAACTCACGGCGACCCTGCATAAGGATTCCGAGGAGCAGTTGGTAAGCTTGAACTGCTCAACGTGTGGTTCAAACCAACCTTTCAGTTCAGCGCATTAACCCGCAGTGCCAGACCAGGATTCCACTGACAAGGTTAGCAATTAGTAAAGATTTGCTTTTAGTTAGCAACTTTGTATTCAGGGTATCTGAATTGCTTTAGAAACTAATTTCTTTGTGCACCCCATGTAGAACTCAAGGATGGATTTTTATAAATCTCTTTCACAACCCAAAGTTACTACTTTTTGTTCTGCTGAAGTCCCAGCTCTTCCTGCAGATATTTACTAATTAATTAGATGGGAGATTGGATGGTTTATTGACTTTAACAGAGGACCATTTGTAAATAATCTTTCTGCTGCTTAATACTGTTTAGTTCATTCATTGCTCATTCACACATTCAGTCTTGCTTCATTCAACAATTACTGAATTGAGCACTTTCTATGTGGAAAACATGCCTGCATTATTTCTAATTCACCTAAAAGATACAGGACATTTTTCTCTTTGAGCATTACATATCACAGTGCTACCTACAATGGCATTTTTTTATTATTATTTTAATTTTTTTTTCTGAAACTACTATGGGAAAGCAAAATAAAGCTCAACATTTCCTGTCTTTGTAATTCTATAAGCAAAACAAAATACTACAATGGCATTTAACAGACAGTTAATGATGAAGCTAAGATAACGATTTTCACAAGAAGAGGTAGGACAGGTACACAAGGCAAATGACGTGTTTCCCTTTCAACCAAAAGCAGGAATAAATTATAGAAATCAGGTGAGTATATAGACTCTCCAGGTTAGAAGGGATCTTTCTTCATTCAACCTCCAGAACAACGATCAAGAACAGAATTTCTTTCAGAGCCTTTCTACCCTGATTCTGCAGAACCATCCTTTCAAGGTTACCCACAGTGTGGTGAAGAAGTTTGCAAGAGGAACTCTATTTTGGGGCCCCAATCTGCCCTTCTCACACAGAGTTTAGTGGTCCGTACCCTACAACAGCCACACTATGTCTCTAAGTACCCACATCAACATATGTCTCTTCCTTTCTGTCTCTTATCATTCACAATATTCTCAAGCTCTAAGTGTTAAATATACATATTTCATCTTGTAAAATGTTTCTTTTATAAAACATTTCAAACATAGACAAAAGCAGAGAGAATGGGAGAGTGAACTACCATGTACCTGTCATTCAGCTTCACTCATATCAGCATTAGCCCAGTCTTGGCTCACCCAGCCTACTCCTCTCTACTTTTTGGTTCTTTTTACTATTTTAAAGCAAATCCCAGGCATTGCGTCTTTTCACCTTTATTAGGCATCTGTGACAAATAAGGGCTTTTCTTTCTATAACTACCTGCTATTATTTACCTAATAGCATTAATTTTCTAACTCCAAATCAAAACCCATGGTCACTGAGTTGACTTTTACTCACAGCAATGCTGTAGGACAGAGCAGAAATGTCCCATGGAGCTTTCAAGGCTGCAATCTTTACAGAAGCACACTGTCATATCGTTCACCCTTGGAGTTGCTCGTAGGTTTATTTTTATTTTTTCACAATATTTTCTAATTCTGAGAGAATATGAAATATTCTGCTAATGGGGAAAGATTTTTATTTTTTATGTTACCTTTCTGTATTGATTGAATTTTCCAATTTTATGAGTATACTATTTTATAAAACATAAGAAAAATGATAGAAGAAAATATTTATTATATATATTTTTAAAAAATCTGGGTAGTTGGATTGTGGGTCAAGGTAGTGCTTTTATTTGTAGTTTACTAAACGAAAAATGGTTATTCATAAGGAAATTAATATAAGCTAGTAATGATTAACAAAGTCTTAAAAATTGTTTGTTAGACTAATTTGTTGTTGTTACATACCATTGATTTGTTTCTGACTCATAGCTATCCTATGAGGAGCAGGTGGTGGGGTTGAACTGCCAATCTTGTGGTTCAAACTAACCTTGACATCCAGTGCATTATCATGTAGCATCACACAGGCAATATAAACTAACAATGACTGAAACCACATGTTTTTATTGTTAAATGCCATGGATTCGGTTCAGATTCATAGTGACCCTGTATAGGGTTTCCAAGGAGTGATTGGTGAATTTGAACTGCCAACCTTGTGGTTAGCAGTTCACTGCTTATCCAACAGCGCCACACCAGGACTATGAAACCACACATAGTAATCTTTATTACTAAGAAGCTGACTAAAAATTGAAAGAAGGAAAAAATACCCCTGACAAAATGTGAATTTGACGAACAGAAAAGTCTGGCAGTAAAAATTAAGAATATAAATATACAATGGTTAAAGTTATGATTAGCAAAATTTGATGTAGACAGAAAAAAAAAACAAAAAACCCTAATTGAATAAGTATATCTTAACTATAAGCTTTAAATAAAATCACTTAATATATTAAATGGTGTCCGGTTCAGGTAAAAAATAATCAACGAAGGCAAAAACTATTATTTTAAGAAGATAGATAACATCTACAAACCTCTGTGGTGGCAGAATATTCCAAGATGACACTATAATATCCTCACCCTAATCCCCAGGACTCTAAATACAATGGGTTTGACTCCCATGATCAGGTTATGTTATATATGGCATAGTTGACTTTAAGAAAGGGAGAGTTACCAGGCAGGGCTAACCTAAGCACACCAGTCCTTTAAATGTGGAGAGATTCCTCCCACTGGTATGGAGAAAGGGGGTCACAAAAAAGGAAGTCAGTGAGATATGAAGTGTGAGAAAGTCTGAGATTTCATTGCCTGCTTGAAGGCAAGGGCCTACATATGTGTCAAGGAATATCGGCAGCCACTAGTAGCTGAGAACAGCCCCTAGCGGAGAGTTAGGGAGAAATGGAGACCTCATTCTTGTAGCTTCAAGGAACCGAATTCTACCAACAAGAATGAACCTGAAAGCGGATTTATCCCTAGAGCCCCCAGATGAGACCTGAGCAGGGTAGACTCCTTGTTTTCAGACTGAAATCCTGAGCAGAGAACTCAGACAAGCTATAGCAGACTCTGACCTAAGAACTGTGAGCCAATTAAAGGTGTGGTTTTTGAGGCCACAAATTACTTTGTTATACAACAATGACTAGCTAAAAGGAAAAAATGAGAGAGGAGCGAGAAGGCAGAAATGATCAATGTCAGGAATGAAAGATGGGATGTAACTACAGATGCTAAAGGATATTAAGGGAGCAACTTTATTTTCATAACTTCATCAATCTAGGTGATATTTGTTGTTATTAAATGCTGTTGCGTCCATTTCAACTCATAGCGAACCTGTATAGGGTTTCCAAGGAACAGCTTGAAAAAATATGATCTGCTAAAACCCGCTTCTGTATTTTTTAAATTGAATTTTTAATTAGAAATTTCCCTCAAAGAATACTCCAAGCTCAAATGGTTTCAATGGTGTATAGTTAAAAAAGAGCAATTCTACCTAACCTATCCATAAAATAGAAAAGAAAGGAACACTTCCCAACTCATTTATAAGACTAGCTTGGCCAAAGGCAGATATTACATGAAAAGAAAACTGAAGACCATTATCTTTCATGAGCATAGGTGCACCTATCTTCAACTACAACATTAGCAATAAAATCCAGCAATATACTCTTATAATAAAGATAATACATCAGGACAAAGTGAAGTTTGTCCCAGGAGTGTAAGGCTGATTCAGCATTTGAAAATCAATTCACCGTATTAACAAACTAAAGGAAAAACCCCACAAATGATCATCTCAGTAGATGCAGAAAAAGCATTTGACAAAATTCATCTTCAGTATAAATACTCTCAGCACAGTAGGCTTCTTTAACCTGGCAAAGGACAGCTACATAAAGCCCAGAGCTCTCTTCATACTTAAAGACAGATGTTTCCCCCTAAGACTGGAAACAGGCAAAGATGTCTGCTCTTACCACATTCACCATTATACCGGAAATCCTTGCCAGTTAAGTAAGAAAGAAAACAAATAAATAAAAGATATGCAGTCTGGAAAGAAGAATCAAAACTGTATCTAATCACAGATGACACGATCCTCTGTATAAAAAATTTCATGTAATCCACAAAAAAGTTCCTAGAACAGTAGATGAGTTTAGCAAGCTCATAGTATGAAAAGTTAATATAAAAATCTAATTGTAGTTTTATACACTTGCAATGTACAATTTTAACAAACCAAATCTTCTGTCATCAAGTTGATTCTGACTCACAGGGAGCCTATAGGACTTAGCAGAACTATCCCAGTGAATCTTTATAGAAGCAGACTGCTTGCTACGTCTTTTTCCTATAAAGCAGCTTATGGGTTTGAACCCATCATGGACCTTTTTCTTAGCCTGCTTCTGCATGCTGTAACCACCAGGGTTCCTTAATGAACAACTGGAAGTCAAAAAATTTTTAAAAGTACCTTTTACAATGTATTGTTGTTGTTGTTAAGCACTATAGAGTTGGTTCCAACTCATAGCAACCCTGTATAGGGTTTCCAAGGAACAGCTGGTGAGTTTGAACAACTGACCTTGAGGTCCAGTGTATCTACTACAGAACCATTTTTAGATGTAAATTTAACAAAATATATTCAGGATCTATCTGTTGAAACTGGTGTCATGGTATGGCACTGTAGAATGAGTCAGACCTGGTGGGTAGCTATGAGTCAGAACCGACTCAATGGTACTTAAAAGCAACATATGCTGAAAACTATAAAATACTACTGCAAGAACTTAGAGTTCACCTAAATAAATAAATACCGTGTGTTTGTGGATTTTAGTACACCCACTCTTCACTTATCAATATGATTAGACTCCAAAGAATAGGTATTTATATGAAAATTGGCTTT